ATGTTAACCCTTTGGCGTACAGAATTCTGCTAATACTTTACTCTTAGGAGGCCTGATTCAGAGCCCACTGAAGTCAATGGCTTTGTATTGTTGCCAATGGGTAAGGTACTGGCCTGTGTATTCGGAGCTCCAAGTTCTAGTCACAGCCCTGCTGTGTGACTTTTCTCTGTGCATGTTGGAAAGTGCTTTGAGATCTGTCGATGAACAACGCTGCATGAGAGCTAGTGAAGTGTCTGAGCCGCACCAAGTGCTCTCCGTGCAATAACTCATCCCTCCAACACTTCTATCGTGGAAGTGGCTCTACCCTTGGTTTATCATAAACATGGTCTGAGGCATTTTATTTTCTCTGGCATAAAATCATAGATGTAAGTAAACCCTGTTGAGCCAAATAAAATGGGGATCATTAAATTAATCCAGGTCAGCGAGGTCTGGTGGGAGTGGGGAACCTTTCAGGGTGCCCATCAGGGGCACAACATTATTGTGGAGAAAGGAGTTTTTCAGATCACTGTGTCTTAGACAGACAAGGGCTCACCCCCTAATAATGGAAAGAGGCCAGGCTTTTGATCTTGGAAAAGTATCATGCAGGAGCATCAGAAGCTCCCTATAAGTAAATGTGTGTGTGTGTGTGGGGGGGGGGGGGGGATGACACCCCACCCCACCCCTGCTAGCTCCTCTCTGCCCTCATCACTCGCCCTTACAGCCAGTAAAATGTGGGAGGGCATGGCTCCCTGTCGTCCCCCCCCCATTCCGGCGCCCCGGTACCATGCTATTGTCTTGTTGGCACTGTTTTCTGAAGCGGGGGGAGGGGGGACAGGGTGATTCTTGGAGGTCCTGGTTTCCCTGTGATATTCTGAGAGCTCATGCCCTTGGGATAGCCATTTGGTGAGAATTCTTACAAGCTGCTTGACAGCCTGGTTCAAGGCTCATGGGAATCAGTGTCTGACTGGGGGTTTGCATTAGGCCATTAATCTCTGAACTCAGAAACAGCTCAGGGTAAGGCCCCTGGCACGGTGGATCAGGCAGCTGGTATCTCTTGGTGAACTGGGCTCTGAATTACCTGCAGGCTGGAGCTCTGGGGGGGAAGGATTTTGTGTGACTGTGGATTGAGTGAAGTGTTCTTTGTTGGCTAACTGAAACAGTCAAGATGTCAAACAAGGCACTTCTGTATTATTGAAGTTAGGAGCCTTTTGGGTTTTTTCCTCCTTTGCACTGAGGCTTCAAGATACCAGGACATAAGTCTCTGCGTCTGCAAAAACCTGCTTAAGAAAGGGAGCGGTGGGAATGGGACAGAACCAATCTCATACCCTCTGATTCCTGCATTGCTGTATTTCAGCAAATATTTTGCAAAAGGGTTGAATTTCCAACAGGTGAATGGCTCACAGAGCCTTGCAAATGTAAAAAGAAAACGAAGATTGTTTTTTAGCTGACATTTAAACCTCTTTTACTAGCCTGTCATGCTGGTTCCCATAGGTTAGGCGAGACATACTTTCCTTGAAGAAGAAAAGGATATTTATAGCAGTGTAGGGTGATAACAGGGAAATCTCCAGGCTGCAGTACCTGTCAGCATAAGGTTACTTATGAATCTAATGTTAGCAACCAATACCAAGTTGTTACAAGTCCCGTACTACAGTGGTCCCTGCTGTTCAGTCCCACGTACAGCTCAGCCAATGCATCCCAGTCCTGATGGTACCCACTGATGTTGCAGATGAGGGCAAGTGCATTCAAGTCTGCTGTGGATTTGCAGTCTGGCTAAACAACTTGGTATTGGTTGCTAACATTAGATTCATTGTGACCTAAAAGCAAACTTACCAAGACATGTCTTGGTGCACGGCCTCTGTCATTGCTGCTCCAGCCAGCCTCCAAGTCTGCCTTGTAATGTCTGTGGCCACAGTCCTGTAACAGAGTCAGTGCAGGCAGATCCTTGTGCCTGTGCAGATCCCCACTGCCTTAATGTAGGAGGCAGGGTGGCCTACTCAATAGCTTGAAGGCCTGGGTTCTGTTCCTGGTTCTGCTAGTAGTTTGCTGGGTGACCATACGTGAATTGCTTTGCCTAACTGTGCCTCAGTTTCCCCATGTGTAAAATGGGGATAATGATACTGACATCCTTGTAAAGAGCTGTGAGATCTCTGGCTAAAACAGCTAGGAATTGTTATTGAAGGACTGTAGGGTCAGGGCCTGTATCTTGACCCTTTACCCTTTTTGTTTTTCGGTACAGACATGACAAGTCCCTCCCTCTTTCTATTGGCAGTATTGGTCAGTGCCAGAAATGGCTCCATCACTTAAGCTGGACAAGCTGTGGCCCTGATCCTGCAATCTCAGATACATGGTTGTTGCCATCAATGGGGCTTCACACAGGCACAGAGCTCTGCATAGATACAGGGATCTGACTACATGTAGGAGCCACCTTGCAGGATCAAGACCCTGGTTCTTCAACCCTTTCCCAGCACCTCCACCAAAGAAACCAGTCCCTGGAGGGTTTTCATGCAGTGTCTCATCCCAGGGGAATCATTTGGTGAAGCTTTTTGTGAGGGGAGAGGGAGGTTTCAAAGGGACGATGAGAAAACATTTCCCTATTTCTGACTTTCTGCTAGCCAAAATAAATTAGGAAACTCATTGTGTCTCCAAACCAACTTGGTCTACAAGTTCCAAACGTGTTCTGTTTTACTGGCCCTTTAGGGTTTTATGGGGGAATTAAAAGGATAAATCACAGACAACAGCTTTATAATAGAGATCCTGCATTTATGTAGGCAGGGAAGCGGTTTAGTTAACAAAGGGCTCATTAAAGCAGGGATATAAACAGAAGGCTGGGCAAGGGGCCTGGTGCAGAAGTGGATTCCCTCCAGGCTAGGAATAAAGTTCAATCTGGGGAACTGGCTGCTGAGCTTAAAGGAGAGGACCACTTGTTCTTTTGCTCTGCTTTGCTTGGTTTGCAATTGCTTTGGATCAGGCTAAAGAAAACCCCAGAGCTGGAGAAGCGCCCTCTACAGGGCCGTGTGTGCCTGAAAGTGGCAGGATGTAGTTCTCAGGTTGTTTGCGCTCTCCCTTGCTTCTTCCTGTTATCTGCGGCTACAGCCTGGGCCACAATCGTACAGTGCTAGTTTCATGCAGGGAGGAACTGGCTGGGTCCCTTAACTCTCTTTCCAGGCACACTCATATTTAGGGATTTTAAGGTGAAGAATGCTTGTAAAGGAAGTGTTGGGGATAACTGACTCCACTGAAACCAGCTTTCAGCCTTAACTCTTAAAACAAAGACTCTGTGTTTGTGGATTGCTTCCAGTTCAGCACCTTGGAGGCTTGTGGGGCTGGTTTGATCTATAGTGGACTAAAGTGACTTCACACCTGCAGTCGGGAACCGTTGTGCAAGCCAGAACAGATGCTAGAGAGTGTGGCTGAACAGAACAGTATGGAAAAACAATTTTAAAGAGACAATGACCAAGGCTTGCTCTGACAGTCCAACCAAGGTTCTTTGGCACTCCCTCCTCTCATGCAGAAACTCCCAAGTGTGTTAAATGACAATGTGCCTGCTTTAGTTATGGAGGCTAATTCTGCTGGGGGTGAGATTGAGAACAGTCCCACTCACTTGTCTTGAGATCTATACATGATTGAAATCCAAAGGTCAGATACTTAGCTGGCTGAAATTCTCATCACTTTATTGGAGCTAGGACCATTTACCTTCGCTGATGACCTGCAGGACTTCAGACCTGAAAGGCAAATGTACCCAGCTACTATTCAGCTGACTTTGCTCCCATGTTCCTTTTGATTCTGTACACTGCAACCCTGGAGCCAGGCTATGGCTCAATATGATCCTCAAAGGAAAAGCAACAAATCCCTAATTTAGAGAGCTCGCCAATGTTTTCATGCCATCTGCCTGGCTGCACGGATATTAACAAGTTACTGGATCTGGACCTGCTGTGCCTTGATGCAAAGATTTATTTTTACAGCCTTGGTATTTAAAATGATCTTTTATAATTTCATGCTTAAATAACACTAAATAATGTTCCATGCTTGCATAGCGTAATTGGAAGAGGCAAATCAACCAAACAAATCAGCAATGACTGATCTTCCTGGATATCTTCAACCAGAAACAAATTGAAGAAAAGGGCCCTGGCTGATTAACGCTTTGAGGGCCTTTGCCAGCTTAAGTATTTGCATAGGCTGGGAATCACAAGAGTTTAAAAGAGCTAGTGACCTCTTGCCAAATAAAACAGTGGGCATTAGATTAAATTCACTTTAAAAAAACAAAAACGTGTTGTCAGAAGCTGCCAGATGGATGATGCTCTGGAACTATTGTAGGATTTTGGACTACTGCAGAAAAGATTTAGAAAATACTCTGTCTCATTTAGCCCATTTTTAAGTCTTTTTTATTAAAAATGGCCCTGATTCACAACTGCTTTACTTCAGTTGAACACTGCTGGATTTTTCGTGTGATGCTGGCAGCCCAGATGCCACTCTTGCCCAGGCTGCAGGCATTAGCTAAGAACTGACAGCCTTGTAGCTGCAGACCAGACAGGTCACCTGTAGGTTAGTTTTGCTCAAAACAGGTTTTACTCTAAGAATGTGTTTAGACTCTCTAGGCCTTGTCTACACCAACACTTTAAGTCAATCTAAGTTATGTCAGTTACGTAACTTAATAGCACAGTGCAGACACTGTGTTAAGTCTGTCGATGGGAGATGCTCTCCTGTAGACTTAGTGCTTCTTAACCAAACCCCCTAAATCAACGCTGCTTAGTGAAGACAAACACTATGAAATGCTTGTTTCTGCAGGTATTAATCTCACTTTTAATTGCTATATCCCATGTTATAAGGTAATATTTGTCTGTTCTGAAACTACATGCCCACAGTCAGGAGGGACGCATTACAAGTGTGAAATACTAGTTTGCCCCAGGGCGTTCTCTCCTGCCCAACAAAAGAAGGCCCATGAATGCCAGCCAAACCATTATGGAACATCCGAAGACAAAAGACTTTGTTGATTGCTCCCCTCCTACCCAGGAAGAGGAGACATGCAGGTGAACTTGTCCCATTGTTATCTTGAACTCTGAGTGACGGGAGTAAAAATCCTGACAAGAAGAAACTGCCTCTTTTTGTCTGTGTGAACTCAGAAGGGCCAGAGATTTCTTAACTGAAACCAGCTATCTGCTTGCAAAATATCTGGTCTCGGCAAGGGCGGAAAGGGGCTGGGTAAGGTAGGTGCTAAGAGGCACCGTAAGGTCTTGCGAGACAACATCCAGGGTATTACGAAGCCGGCGATCCGCCGCTTGGCTCGCCGCGGTGGGGTGAAGCACATCTTGGGGCTGATCTATGAAGAGGCTCGGGGGGTGCTGAAGGTTTTCCTGGAGAACATGATCTGCGATGCGGTGACCTATACCGAGCACGCCAAGCGGAAGACGGTGACGGCAATGGATGTGGTGTATGCCCTGAAATGCCAGGGGCGCACCCTGTATGGTTTTGGGGGCTGAATTGGCTTTTAACCTAAAAAACCCAGGGGCTGCCTCCTGCATCTGCCCTGAAAGACACTTTGAATTGACTGATTACTGCAGTTCTAAGTATCAGGGGGTAGCCGTGTTAGTCTGTATCCACAAAAACAACGAGGAGTCTGGTGGCACCTTAAAGACTAACAGATTTATTTGGGCATAAGCTTTCGTGGATAAAAAACCCACTTCTCAATGGGTAAAAGTCCCACTGCAGCTCTGTTTATTCTTAGGATTTAGATGGTAACTTTAATGGTGTGTGTGTTTGCTTGCTTTAACCTGTAAATAGCTTATTCCTTTTTCCTAGTTAATAAACCTTTAGATAGTTTATTACAGGATTGGCTACAGGCATTGACTTTGGTGTAAGATCTAGAGCAGGTTCTCATGACAAATATTTTGGTGGCCTCAGAATGCGGCCACCAACTCTTGCTGGTGGCTGCTCTGACAGTTTTTCCTAAAGTATTTTAGGAAAAACAAATAAATATGAACATCAAAATTATTGTTATTTATTGCTAGCTAGTAAGTCTGCTGCTGTGAAAAGTGATATTTGTATGTTTGTTAATATTTTTCACAGCCTCCCAGCTAGCTACTAAGTCTGCTGTGAAACTTGCTCAGCCCCGGCAAGCCTGGGGACAAATTAAGCCCTGGATGGGGAGTTGGATGGACAGGCAGCAGGAGCCAGGGGCAATGAGGGGTGGGGGAGGCAGCGGGGAGCAAGATCCTGAAGCCTCAAGGATGGGGGCCCCACAAAGGAGCTTGAAGTCCCAGGGCCATAGCCCGAAGCCTTGCGGCCAGGGGACAGGGCCAGAGCCTGAAGCCCTGTGGCCAGAGTCTGCCATCCGAGGGCTGAAGCCTGATCCCCACCACCTCCAGGAAGGTGAGCAATTCACAGGCTGCCTGCTCCTCCAGTATTGTGCCCCAGGTGTGTCTAGATGGGGGAGGGGGCAGGGCAGAAACCCTGCTGGCAGCCCCAGCAACCAACACTAAGGGTACGTCCAGACTACCCGCTGATAGGGTAGCGATTGATTTATTGGGGATCGATATATCATGTCTCGTTAAGACGTGATATATCTATCCCCGAACGCGCTCCCCGTCGACTCTGGAACTCCACCGGAGTGAGCGGCGGTAGCGGAGTTGACGGGGGAGCCGCGGCCATTGATCCCGCGCCGTGAGGACCCAAGGTAAATCGATCTAAGATACCTCGACTTCAGCTACGCTATACGCGGAGCTGAAGTTGTGTCTCTTAGAGCTATTCCCCCCCCCCCCCCCCCTTAGTGTAGACCAGCCCTAAGGTGACTCATCCAGGAGCAACAGGGAGGGGGAGGGGCAGCTGCTTTGCCTTGCAATCACTGCCCAGGAGGCTGTGGCTGCAAGAAAAGCCCCTGGTGGCTGTATTTGAGAAGCTGAAGAGTACCAGTTGATCTGGGATGAGTGACTGGTCTCTTGGGACTAGAAGTAAACTAAATGTGTAAACCCTATGGGTTACAGTGGACGAGAAGCTGGATATGAGTCAGTGTGCCCTTGTTGCCAAGAAGGCTAACAGCATTCTGGGCTGTATAAGTAGGGGCATTGCCAGCAGATGAAGGGACGTGTTCGTTCCCCTCTATTCGACATTGGTGAGGCCTCATCTGGAGTACTGTGTCCAGTTTTGGGCCCCACACTACAAGAAGGATGTGGAAAAATTGGAAAGAGTCCAGCGGAGGGCAACAAAAATTATTAGGGGGCTGGAGCACATGACTTATGAGGAGAGGCTGAGGGAACTGGGATTGTTTAGTCTGCAGAAGAGAAGAATGAGGGGGGATTTGATAGCTGCTTTCAACTACCTGAAAGGGGGTTCCAAAGAGGATGGATCTAGATTGTTCTTAGTGGTACCTGATGACACAACAAGGAGTAATGGTCTCAAGTTGCAGTTGGGGAGGTTTAGGTTGGATTTTAGGAAAAACTTTTTCACTAGGAGGGTGGTGAAGCGCTGGAATGGGTTACCTAGGGAGGTGGTGGAATCTCCTTCCTTAGAGGTTTTTAAGGTCAGGCTTGACAAAGCCCTGGCTGGGATGATTTAGTTGGGAATTGGTCCTGCTTTGAGCAGGGGGTTGGACTAGATGACCTCCTGAGGTCCCTTCCAACCCTGATATTCTATGGTGTGTGTTTTGTTTTGTTTTTTAAGTAAATGACCATTTATCACTATGTCCAGTTTGTCTGGGTAGCAAGATAGATGGGAGAGGCTAAGGGGACTGTCTGTGATTCCATGGTAACTGTTATAGTGATCCAGGAGTTCACATTTGTTACTGGCTTTGTGAAATCTAATGATAGAATACAGTAGTTTGGGGTGTCTGCCCTGTTTGTGACAGTATGCTCTGAGCTAGGCACTTGGTCATGAGCCACTCCAGACAGGGTGACAACTTGCTTTCAAAGGAACTGCACTAGTATAAAATAGGAGTAACTCAGTACAGGATCATGCCCTCAGTTTTATCATTTTTGGAACATTCCATGGCCCCTTGGCAGAGAGAATGTGAAATGTTACATGATTTAGCCATCAAAGTCCTTTTTGCTGTTCTGAACTAGGATGGCCTTGTTTTGGCACAAAAAGTTCACTTTAGGCCTAGATTTCAAATGTGCAAGAAGTTAAGGTTGTCAAACTTTGACACAAATCATGGGTGTTTTGCATGCCTCCTGGGAAAACTGACATCCTTGTTTCCACGGTAGAACAGATACAGCATGAGTTTCCCCACCAGGACCAGTCAGCATGTCTCAGCTTTGATCTGGAGGGACCAACTCGTGGGCTTTAGGGAAGCTCTTACCTCCATGCCTGTATGCTGAGGATTGCAATAAGGGAAGCTAGTTGTGATGTACATGTTCAACTGGATCGAGCCACCAACTCTTGCCCCGTAGGGTGCTGAACAGCCTTCAGAGCTTACCTCTGAGTCACTGCTTACCTGGTTTAGATTTGAACACGTGACCTGCAGGTAACTGGCACCATTGCCCATTACCTATTCCTTAACTTTGCTTCCATTTTGGTACCCTCATCACCAGGCTGGGAAGTCAGTGGCTGGCCCCAAGCACTCCCTGGCCTAAAGCAGCTTGATTTGAGGAGGGAAAGATCTCTGTGAAAAGGCATCTCAAGTGTGCTGAATGCTTAGTGCTCTGTATCTCCATGCTGGAGACTTGATTTCATCTTGTTCTGGGGGCCTGCTTGACAGCCAGGTGGGACTGAAGTTCTCTGCTTAGCCACAGAACAGGTCTAGAACAGGCAGAACTAGACCCAGTTTAGTGGCCAAAACCAATGACCACCTTGGCTTACGGCTGTAGTGGTCTTAACCTGTGGGACCAACCCCCAAGGATGCTGATGGTAGCTGTATAGGGGCATTGTGATGGTCCTCCCAATACATGTATCTGGTCTCATTAGGAGACAGATTTGTTCAGCCACTTGCAACCAGGTCCTGCTGAGCCATCCCACTTTTGCAGTGCTTCTTTGGAAGCATCATGGAACAGCCTGCAAACTGGGACTGAGGATTCTGCAGCCTGTCTTCAAAGGTGCAGCTGAGTGGTGTTTGGAGGAGAGTGGCTGAAGATCAGGGACTGGCTGCAGAATCTGCAGTTGCAAAGGGCTCCCCAGCCAGAGGCAGAGAGGTCTGCTCATGCCTGCTCCTTGCCCCTTTCCACACACCATGTCAGGAGCATGAGAAGGCTGAGCTATGCCTCCAAAGCCCCAACCCTGCCTGCCTCCAGGACTTGCTAAGGCTTTAGATCAGTCAGGTGCAGAGGGAGCCCTGGTGAGAGATGAGGCATGCAGGAGAGGAAGGGGCAGTGGGTGAGGGGGACACGCATATGTCCCTCTGCTCCATCAGTGGCAGGGGAACCCTCCCTCTAGGGGAGGCTAGTGCCCCCCCACTCCCTGTGGCCAGAGGAGCCCATGCCAAGCCAGCCCAGCCACTGGTTGGCCTGAGCTGAGCCCCCACTGGCTTAGGGGGAGCATGGGTGGGGCCACAGCCTGGGTTAAGGGAGGCTTAGCCTCCCCTGGCCTATTATACCAGTCGCCCATGCTCTGCTCCCTGAGTCCTAGTTGACATAAATATCTGCCTGTAACTGGGTTCTTCCTTCATGCACCATCCCTTTCTCTGACCCCTCCCCAGGTGCTGCTGCCCCTAACTGGATCTTCTTCCTCCTTCCCCCACGCCAGCCCTCCTTCTGTGGCTGCTTCATGTCGCCTGCACTTCCCTTTCCTTGTCAACACTCTCCTTCCCCTCCGTCCCCCCTCCACCTGGCACATGTATGTGTTGGCTCCCAGCCAGCTTTTCCTATTCTTCCAGGTTGTCTGAGTTCTGCTCCAGTGTCCTCTCCTCCTCCCTACCCTACTGCAGAAACCTCCCTTCTGTTTGTGCCTGCATTAGCATTTCTGCTGACTGCAAGGATTGGTTTAATTTCATGGGTGTCATTTCCTTCAAGAAATCTCTCTCTGAGCAGCAGCCCGACGAATCCCTGATAAAACATATTTTCCTACGGTAATGATTTTATGGGCCCATAAGTCATGAATTTATTATAATCTAAGCCCCTGCTGCTGATTGCTGGAAAATGCAAAGTAATTAACAGCAAGTGGTAGCAGCTATTCCCACCTGGTAGCGTGTTCTTTGGTATGCTGATGGGTTTGATTAAAGTAATGACTACAGTGTAAAGCCTGGCTGTAACATATTAGCATGATTAATGCAGTATCCTAAATAAGAAACAAAACTAATGGGCATGGAGTGAGAAATTAAAAAAAAATATCCCCCTCCCTCCCTCTAGCTATTGTTCTGGCTCATTTATGCCTTCCTTTCTGTTAAATAATCTATGGCTTTCAGGGCCAAGGGGCAGGCTAGCAATGCATATCACAGTCTCATAACATCTTAAGTGCTTGTGTTAATTTTTCCCCCTGCCTCCCTCTTGGATAGGAAGGGGAGGGAATCAAGTTGTCTGAACTTGGTGTCGAATTGAATGCAATTTTATTTGGATCT